AATAAAATTTGTCTGAGGGCCGCATTTGGCCCCCATAGTTTGGACATGTCGGTCTTATTGCTTTGTCTGGAATGTTCCACAGTATAGATTAACCCTACCGATCACTAGGGAGACAAGCAGGTTACAGCATTACAGTTCAGATCTGTGGAGAGTCGCCCCTATTCACAGAAGGAATTATTATATTTTTTAACAATAGAAACCCCTGTAATTAATTAATGCCAGATGTATGTATATGTTTAATGTCATACCATGGAACATTCCAGGAAAAGCAATAACATCTCCATGGAGACAAGTAGGTACCGAACCCTCTACCAGAAAAGTTTAAGGTAGAAAAGAGATGGGCATGTGCTTGTCTGTATGCACCGGTAATCATAAAACATTTTGTCCAACAAGAATCAGGAGGTGCACTGTTAGCATGTTAGTTGTTGTAAGCTTTACAGTGAAGGCAAAACTCTGCACTGGTCTCTGAGAGTTGTGAAACACACTTATAAACTCTCATTGGTGAATAATTAGGATATTCAGAATGCATAAGTTAAGTGAGGAATAACTTTGGACCTCTGCAGTGGTTCAAATATGCTACCTCTGTTTTTTTCACCATTTGAAGATGTGAAAATCACGTATACTACTTTTACATGTAAGCTTAATCATAGACGAGTTACTAGCTTAGTCCTAATAACTACTTTTTGAAGAATATTCATGGGTGTCAGCTTCTATTTCATATAGAAAAGAAAAAGAGCAAAGAGCAGAGTACCCAGAGCTAGAGGACAAATCCAGGAGCTAAGGCCCCAGTCACCCACAAAAGCCCTGAGAATGCTGAGATTAAGGGGGCTACACCAAAAAAGCCATTAAACATCACAGAGGCAGCAGACTTTTGAGGCCCAGTCAAAAGATGTGTTTTGAATTGTTAATTTATACGGCAGCACTGCCAGATATTAATCACCCTGAAAACCATGACTTGTTGCTGGAAAAGCAGTTTGATAATAGTTTTTATAATAGTTTTCTTAAGCATTATCTTCAGTCATGTTTTAATGTCACTAAATTGTTTAAAATATCATAATTGGCTATAACATAAAATCATGTTTTTTTTAATGTTTTGGATGTTTTTATTACACTGAAGACAATAAAACAAACAAACAAAAAAAACAAAAACTTGTGTTTTTACTCTGAGCACACTTGCATCTCCGCAAACCCAACTCTTATTTGGACTGGAGGAGGGTCTCTTCCTGCTTATGAAAATGTTCCTAAAACAGATCTATTTCCATGGAAAACTTTACAATGTATATGGTTTAGCTTTCTATTTCCATAGAATCATGCCGGTGATGTGCCACCACCAGAAAGTTACACAGTGTTGTTTTAATTAATTTGACTGCCTTTATCCATGCCAAAGTGGGTAGTAATATTACCTATTCCAAAGAAGTACTTGCAATAGTAATGGTGCAGAACTATAGTTACTATAGTATTAGTATTAGTAGCAGTATTGTTCGGTGATGAATGATAAATACTTCCCTGTTTGAATGATAAATACATCCCTCCACAAAGTGTGTGCCACAATCCTTCATAAGTGTCTCCTCTTAATACAGTGGATACTTGTAAATATTTATGTGGAAGGTGACAGTAGAACTTACCTGAGCATCCATCAGTACTGAGCTCATTGAGACTTTCTATAATAAGTGAACACAGTTGAAAAGAAATGTTAGCCTCATTAGCATACTGTAAGACTTACAAATGTATTTTTCATTAATGCAAATTAGAGCCTCTGTTTGATCTGCCTCTGCTCAGTATTCTCCACGTTTCACTATATGCAGTGTACACTTCTGCTTCTGCTCTCATGGACTTGTGCATGTTGACATCTGAGAGGCATGTCTTTTGTTGTTTACAGTCACACTCCAGTATTTCACACACAATGAATTTAAACATGTTCTAGAATCAGAGAGCACACGCCACTTTATAATACAGAGTTCAGAATAAGAGTAATGAACAAAAGCAAAAGCCCTGTTTAGCTGCAGTTGCTGAAACTCATTTGACACGAGTCGTTATTCCATTTAAATATAATTTTGAGGAGGTCACCTGCTTGTCTCCATGGATATGTTGATGTTTGGTTGAAATGTTCCACAGTATGGCATTAGACTCATCCAACAAACCATGTTACAGGTCAGATCCATAGAGAGGCGACCCAGCTCACTACAAGAATTCAATGTATTATTGAAAGATAAATATTTAATGCCATAACGTGGAACATGTCAGAACAACATATCCATGGAGACAAGCAGGAGGCAGACCCTCCATGAATGCATTATATTTAGCAAGAAAAAAATGTCATCCAGTCAAAATCATCATACACAATGTCCCACTGGAACAGGTTTATGAGAGGAACAAATGACCATAAATTGTGTTTGTCACGTGGAATGTTGCAAAGTCAAATACATCTTAGACCCCAAATCCTTGTGTCTCTTATATAACTCTCGAGTATTACCATATGTATGACATACTGCCTTGAGATATGTGGAAAACATACGAAACAAGCGTATAGCTACAAAAACATGCTGAGCGGCTCATTAGTAGAGTGTGATCAACATACTCATGAGCTGTTTACTGCTGCCAAAGTCCAGAAATATAATGATCTGGTGGATTGCTTATTTTATAAATAACTGCTTATTTGTTAAAACACACTCTGTATGAATCTAGAGCATCATTTATGTTCACTAAACCTAAAATGGCAAGTGAGAAGTCCAAGGGGTGAATGTGTGGAACAGTTTAGATGATGATCTAAAGTTTGTATTCATTGTTTATGTTTAAAGGAATGTTTAAAGTCATGAAGTCTTATTTAGCACAGAAAAGATTAAATCATGAAGCTTATTCTTGTTTATAGAACGTATTCTATTGTTAATTGAGCACAATGTAGTAATGTGAAAAGGATAAGCATAATAAGATAAGCGTCACCCTATACTTTTTCAGTCTTGTATTTGGTTTGATTTACCTGAGTGAGACAATCTATTTTAATTATGTTGACCGAATAAATACTAAAACTAAACTAAATGAACTCCACCGAAAATGTTACATGGTGCGCCTTTAAGGACACATTAGAGAAGATATTGATGAGATGAACCCAAAACGCAACGTCAAATGCAAAGGACAAATTCTCCTACAGAAAATATAGTGTACTTCAACTGCTACACATGTACATAGAACTAATATCAGAGTAAACACACAAACCTCCCTATAAACTGATCCTCCATCCCAACCAACATCCAGTATTAAACCCAGCGAATGTATTTAACCACAGATAAGATCACAGATTTCTATACAAAGTGTGTTGAGGATCCCCAGTCTGGAGCGCGTCTGAAGCGGGAGCTAATTACAGCGCTAAGGGTCTGACTGTGACACCTGACAGGCTGGATTACTCTGTTAGCCACAAAGCAGCGCTGGTGTGGAAGACTTCATGCAGGAGACAGGGGGCTGGGACTGAAATAGCGCTGTGCTTTGTGGTGTAATGAGCTGATTCAAAAGCAGGTGATAGACCAATGCACTGTACTCCACCTTTACAAAAATAACAGGAACAATTGCTTAAAGAGAGAATGTATGAACTGTTATGGAACCGCTTTCATCTTAAAGAGTTTATATTGTGGAAAATGGATTCTTGTGAGGTTTAAGCCATGTTATAATGTTGTTACCTCCTCAAAAAACATACCTGGAGTTGTGTTTTGTTTCATTCACACGTTTTAGTAACCTTACATTATTAGTCTCAAAATGCTCTCCTTGTCCACCTTGTGATGTCATGAAGTGGTAGTTTTCAAGTAAACAGCCACCTTTTACCTTTTGATCACTAGAGTTAGGCAACTCCAGGGCTGAGTGTTTTAGTTTGAACTCCAGGGCTGAAATTACCCAAATGATTCTAGTGAAGGTATGGAGTTTAAAAATCATGGAGTACTTCCTTTATTACCACATGACATCACAAGGTGCACAGAGTGTTTTTGAGAGCAAAGCCAGCCTAAATATGCAGAATTTGTGTGTTAAACATGTGTGAATGAAACAAAACACAACTCCAGGTCTGTTTGTGATGACAAAATAACATTAAAAACTTTACGGTAAAACTAACAACAAGTAGCATTCTTAAGATGCACTTCCTGTTTCGCTGAGAGTAAAACATTCTACCAGAGGTGGGGACATGCAAGTTGTGACTTGGACTCAAGTCAAATCACTATTTTTAGGACTTGAGACTTGACTTGATCAAACTGAATAAGACTTGGGACTTGACTTGGACTTGAAGGTCAGTGACTTGAGAAGCACTTTTAAATCTGAATTCTTTCTATTCTGACCATAATGATTCACACTAAAATCTTGTCAAGACATTTAAAAAGGAAACATTCTACAACTCAATTTCTACAACTCTTATCTACATATATAAATATACTATGATTTTTTTTTAAAGAACAATTAAGTTTAAAATTCATATAAGTTGCAAAAATCTATGCTATATTTGGTACTTTGGTTTAAAGACTTGAAATGAACTGAAGTTCAAAGCAGACGACTTAGACTTGACTTGGACTTATGGGCCAGTGACTCGAGACTCGACTTGGACTTGCCTGTATTTGACATGGGACTTCAGTCAGACTTGAGGTCAAAGACTTGAGACTTACTTGAGACTTGGAAAACAACGATTTGGTCCCACCTCTGTGTTCTACTATTAAATGCAGACAGCTGACACATGGTCTCATTTTACTTAATTTCATGAGAAAAAAAAAAAATAATCTGGTACAGGGCTTTTAAATCATTTTCCGCTCTTTAATAAGCCTATCTACATTTTCTTTTCTGAATTTAATCAAATTCATTCACAGCTGCAGTAATGATGTAGATTTTGATCACAAATCATTTTGGTTAAAGTCAGAAAAACACAGAAAATGGTTTGTATCTGTCTAATCTATCATCCATCAGTTATCAGCATTGAGCGAGGGAGAAAAACACAGAACATAGAACACCTTTGAAGAGAGGATGAGACTCACCTGAGAGTGACACTGTCCCCCTCCAGCACTGTGATGTTATCAGGCATGTGTGTGAGCTCTACCCCCTGCACACTGGAGCCTGAAACACAAGAAAACAAATACACTTTTAGTACACATGAACACATATCAGAATTAGGAAATCTAGTCTGGGAAGGAACACGATCCAAAACTAATTTATTATCAAAGTACATTAAAGAGAAGGCTCATGACAGGAGTGCCATGATGGAAGTTGTTTTTCGGACTATAAGTCACACTTTTTTTCATGGTTTGGGTGGTCCTGTGAATTATACACCAGTGTGACTTATATATATCAAAATGTTCACACTGACAGGCGTGAGAGGGCATGCTAAAGCTTGTGTGTCAGTATCTGCTGCTCCTATTACTCCTGTATCACGGTCACTTGGCCCTTTACTGCACGTTTCGTGCAGAAACAACAGTTGTTCTGCTGCAAGTAGCGAAATATGCAGCTGAAAACGGTAATCGAACAGCAGAAAGAAAGTTTGGAGTGAGCGAGAAACTTGTGACAACCGGGAGGTTGCACCATGCAACTTTCCTGGAAGTCATTGGATGGATTGACAAAGCCTGGACTTCAGTGACAACCAAAACCATCCTGTCAGCGCTCTGTTTACCACCAGAGGTCACACAGTTGCCATAGATCTATAATAATTTATTGTAGTTCTATGGGAGTTGCTCAGAAGTGACACAGGGATGAAGAATTCAATGGATTTAGTGATTTGGATTGAAACTGAGAGTTTGGTAAACTTGATATGTTATGTTGTTTATGCTTTAGTTATCTGAATAACTGTTCATATGTTATGTTAACATATTCAAGATGAAATGTCGGGTTTGGGGGAAATAAATTTCCCCCCAAAAGTGCGACCTATAGTCCAGTGCTACTTATATGTCTTTTTCTTCTTCATAACACATTTTTTGGCTGGTCCGACTTATACTCCGGAGCATCTTATAGTCTGAAAAATACACTATGTGCAGAGAATTATACTATTTTACTATTACTGCACATTTACTGTTGTTATAATTATTAACAGAAAAATACAGAAAAAAAAAAGATAACTGATTCATGACATCAGAATAATTAATTCATTACCAACCAAACAAATGATACGGCCTATACAGGGGTTAGTTCCCAAATGTTTCTCCCCACTCTCACCCTAATTTCACACGATCAAATAAAGCCATTACTATAAACTTGCTGAAGTATGTGTCGGCTCTGAATTTCACAGCACCTATAGCACCTTTGTCACTGAAGTCTTTTAACACATCTTTTTATTATGTTCTTTGCAGTTTAGCCTCAGGTAATGTTCATCTTAAATATATGAGCATAAAAGTTGAACAATTTTACAAAGTATACTCTTAGGAAAATAACATCTGGCACTTAAGTCAATTAACCCAGTGTCAAAATCACACTGTTTATATATTTCAAAAATAAATTTGATCCAACAAATCTTTATTTGTCCTTATATGTATAATGTATGGTTACTATAGCAACTTCAGCACTTGCATGAAAGTAACTAAGAATAAGACAGTTCAGCCAGTGTTCCAAATTGGTTAATATGTATTGTATTATCATATTTAAAAGTTTCCAAAAAGTGATTTATATATAGGTTAAAGGGGAATTGTGTAACTTTTCTGTCATTTCTCTGCCTATAATGTTCCACAGTATGACATTAAACAGCTCTACCTTACATTTATTCTATTACATGTGGTTTTATAGCTCAAAAACACATAAACAATACAGGCATTCTGACTGTGAGAGGGGTCGCCACTCCATAGATCTGACCTGTACCTTGGTCTGGTTTGGTCTCAATGAAGATAAAAAGGTTTAATACCATACTGTGAAACATTCTAGACAAAGCAACAACATGTCCACGAAGAAAAGCATTTCACGGACCTCCACTAGGAAAGTTACACAGTGCAACTTTAATAAATTACAGATTATGACATATACCAAACTTATTTTACTCCTGTAGCTTTGAAAAGACTGTATAAGAACTGCAAATGTCCTATAAAATTCAGCAGCAGTGGGTCCTCTGTACAGTGAGGTTGGGGCACACATACTACACAGCCACGGCATTAATGATAAACAGTCCTTGGGCTGAGGCTATTTATACAGGCCGTTTTAACAAGGCAATTCAAAGTCTACAAACTAATTAAAAAGTGACATAAAATTAAACAAGCACGTTAAATTAAAGCTCATTGTGATAAAATGAAAGGAAGCAGCAGCACAGAAATTACAAGAGCACGGAGTTGGCGAATTTTAAATGTAACACGGACAAAAATACACTCCGTTTTGCATATTGGCGAAACACAGTGACAATGGTAATGAAAGTGTTTGGAAGAGTTGTCTTAAGAATGCTGTGAAATAAATGCGATTTCATTTGGTGTTGTCAGGTTTTAACGCACTGGGCACAAGCAAAACTCATTATTTTATCATCATGCTTATTCTGGGTGGACAGGAGCATCTGCTTTTAAACATAACAAAATATGATAGTGAGGATATTTTCGTTTTTTATTCCCACCTTGTTTATTGCAAGGGATATGAATAGTATTCGTCTTCACTGATTGGACGGTCATCCAATTAAAAATAAAATCCACTTTCTCTCCTGTCAATCATCACATAATTGACTCTTGTGAGGTTTAAGCCATGTTATAATGTTGTTACCTTCTCAAAAACATACGTGAAGTTGTATTTTGTTTCATTCACATATGTGAGTAATCTTTAATCAACAAAAAAATACTGATACAAATTCCACAAGGTCTTCTTTTTTATCGAAGCACAAAGAGTTAGGCAGTTCATGTAGAAACAAACTGCTCCTGCGACATTTAAAAAAAATAAAATAAAATTCTTGTATACAAAAATTATAATTTAACTGTAAACTAAAGGAAGAAATAATACATATTTCCTTCTTTTTATTCAAAAATAAAACAACTCAACTCAACTCAAGCACATCTTTGCATTAACTCTGTTAACCATAGGAGAACCGTAACACTGAGCTCCTTCAGCACAAGAAGCTTGGGAGGTTCCTCACCAACAGTAAGAAGCTGTGAGGTATCCCACAATCCACTGCACAGATCAAACCAAATGTTTCCATATACTTTTGTACAAATTCTACACTGCAGCAGATTATTAATTAAAATCTTCTGCATAAATAAACTTTACATTTCTAAACTTTACGACAGATAATCCATAATCACTATAGAACCAAATCAGCTCATTTCAGATTCTAATGTGTTAAATGCAGTTTTGTGCACTTTTCTTTACGTTTCACAGAAACAAAACTTAAAACCGAGATATCGCCCACCCCCTAATTTGTACATCTCCAAAGCTCAAAATGCTCTGTTCCATCTTGTGATGTCATGAAGTGGTAGTTTTCAAGTTAATGTCTACCTTTTGCCTTTAGTTCAGCAGAGATTGGCAATTCTAGGGCTGAAATCATCAAAATGATTCCAAATGAATGTGTACAGAGTTTAAAAACACAGTGGAGCACTTCCTGTATTACCACATAGTATCATAAACATCGAGTGTTTTCTGTTTGAGGAAAAAAAAAAAAAAACTCTGCCTAAATATGCAGAATTTGTGTGTTAAATTACATTTGTGTGTGTGAATAAAACAAAACACGACTCTAGACATATTTGTGATGACGAAACAACATTATAACATAGATCAGAAAACAGCACAGTATAGGAGCTTTAAATGAAGTAAATGAAGTGAAAAAGACAGACCATAGAATCTAATAATACCACTTTCACTACTGTACTATGAAAAACTATGTTGCAAATAAATACAGACTTGATTAAAGACAAAAAGGTAATCTTATACGCTCTGTACTGACCACATACTTGAATAGTGATTGGGGCTTTGGCTGCATTCTAGAGGGATGTACCTTCTTGAATGGGCCTGATAATGAGCCAGGGGAAGACGATTCACACCAGAGCCACCAGAGCGTGAAATGAAGCCAGCAACTGTAGCACTGGGAAACTCCATACTGACTACCAATACACACAAGTATATATAGGATACACTGTACAAATGCACACACGGGGAGAACAGGTATTGGACTCAAGACTAAAATGTAATGTTTTTTTTTTATTGCAAGAGAGAAAAAAACTAGGTTAAAGGTGTACTATGAAACTTTTCTGGTGGGTGTTCCGTCATCTGGTTGTCTCTATAGAGGTTGTAGTTTTTGCTTTATCTGGAATGTTCCACAGTATGGCATTAACGTCTGAACAGAGTTTTAAGTCTCGTCTTGTGACCTACTTTTATTCTCTGGCTTTTAACACTGCGTGAGTTGCGTGGTCCTCTGTGACTTTTATTTTATTTTTATGCTGTTAGTTTTATTGTCTTAACAAGGACTAGCGGAGTTACGTAGAGCTTTATTTTATACTTCCATTGGATATGATTTATTTGTATTTTGCAGCACTTTGGAAACTGCTTTGTTTAAGAAATCTGCTATATAAATTAAGTGGATTTGGATTGGATTAAACTCTTCTTGGAAACAGGTTGAATTCGTACTGTGAGTTGGCTTGCCTCTCCACAGATCTAACTTGGCCTGGTGTCGTCTCTGCTTACATACATGAGCTGAATGGGTAGCGCTTTAAATGACTTGCAATAATAGTCACTGTGGTAGTTGTGGTGGTACTTTTGGCTGGTAATTATACTGATAAAGACCATATTGTAAAGTGCTTCCACTGAATGCTGTACTTGGAGACAAGCAGGTGCCCATACCTTCTGCCAGAATATCTACACAGTACATCTTTAATAGACCTGTATTACACAAAATGTTTTCTTTTAGAGCTTTAATCCATGTTATAATCTTTTTACCTCATCAAAAACATACCTGAAGATGTGTTTTGTTTCATTCTCACATGTCTCAGTAATCCTGCATTTAATTGTCTGTCTCCAAACCTCAAAATAATCTGTTCCACACTGTAGGCATGTAACAATAATGGAAATATCATGATATCGTATCGTCAATAATATCGTGGACCATCACAATATATCAAATTACAAGTCTCTTCGCTTAAATTAAGAGTTATGGTGCAGCAATAGCTAAAAAAGACAGAGGGAACTACATAGACCATGATCCTTTGTTCCATTTCAGTGTAGACTACAAGAAGAAATAACAGTTCTAAGCACTTTTAAGTCTTAGTTCTTTGGATTAAGTCTTGTCAAGGCTAATTATTATTACTTGTATTATTATTATTGTTGTATTGTTGGATATTGTTACATCCCTAATTAAGCCTCCCCACCATATTGTGAACTTTCCCATGATATCGCAGTAAATATCATATGACTTGGATATCGTTACTCCCCTACCACATTGTGATGTCATGAAGAGGTAGTTCTTAAGTTAACAGCTCCCTTTTACTTTTAGTTCAACAGAGACTGGCAATCCCAGGGCTGAAATCATCAAAGTTATTCTAGTGAAGGTCTATAGAGTTTAAAAACACCTTGGAGCACTTCCTGTATTACCACATGACATCACAAGGTGGAACCAAGTGTTTTCTGTTTGAGAGAGAAACCTAAATATCCAGGATTTGTGCGTTAAACATGTGTGAATGAAACAAAATGCAACACCAGGGATGTTTTTGATGAGGAAACTCAGGAAGATGAGAAAATAGCGCAATATGGGCCTTTTAATCAAACTGAATGAGTGTGACTAGCAATTGGCAGGAAATCATAGTGGGTCATGTCACTAATAGGTATTTCTTTTCAGCAATCATTATCGAGCTAATTGTGAGGCTAAATATTCCACTGGTTGCCTGAAATGGTGTAGCAGCTGATTTTAAAATGGCCCACAGTAAGATCAGTCAAGAACTAGTCACTTAATCAAAAAGTAATTGTTTTGAAGCAGGCCATGCTACGGACCATTAATTTACAATACAAATGTCTAGGAACCAATTCAGGATCTCATTACTGGCTTCTATGAAAACCTTATCTGACCTTCCTCTGAGAATGCTAATGCATATGCTGCTGGTATTACAAAGATGACATACATTTACTCAAAAGAAGTAACAGATATCATTTTTTAAGTTGTACTATATGTCATTTTTCTGGTCTACCACCTGCTTGTCTCCATGGAGATGTTATTACTTTTCCTGGAATGTTCCACAGTATGACGTTAGACGTTTATCTCTATGAAGATTGTGAAGTTAAAGGGCCCATCTGATGCAAAATAACTCTTTTCACATTGTATCTTCTGCACATGTACAAGCACAATTTGGGCTTTGGAACATCCATTACACAATAGTTATGAAATCTTACTGATTTCTTGGAGGCAGTCACAGACCAGGAACTATGAAAGGTCAACTATTGCTCATCTCCCCGCCCGTCCTGAGAAAGCACAGGCTCCGCCCTCCAAATGTGACGTAGGCGACGAGTGAGCCGCCCTTTCTCTGCCCATCTCAGGGAGGGATTGGGAGACAGGCGTGCACCCTGATAGCCGTAGGAATAAACTTTTATTCATCATGGTGATACAGCGCGTTCAGCCGCATGTGTTAGACCCAGAATTGGACAAGGACTTTGAGGTGCACGAAGCTCAAGCACCGTGTCGGCATCAGCTGAACATTACTGATTGGTAATTAATAAACGCTAGTAGATAAACTTATTATATCGTGTACACTGCACTGTATAAAAAATTAGCTCATGTTGTCGCTTTTGTTTAGGTGTTCATGTGGGAATTGTCAGTCGATGCGAGGTGGAGGTGGGGCGGAGGCGGTGGAGTGGGGAGAAGGGCGGGTGCGAAGTGCCTTCTGCTACGTCAAACGCGTCATAGGTGTAGCAGCTTTACTTCGTTGTCATGTGGGATGGTGGCAGAAATGCGCTGCAATTTGTTCAAAAACTGCCAAAGTGTTTTTTAGATTGATTCGGCGGTTTTTGAACAAATTGCATATTGACATATACAAGGCCCACACATCACTCTTAGAAGGTAGAAAGCTCAGAAAAGTTGATTTAGCATGATATGGGCCCTTTGAGGTCTGATCTGTAGAGAGTAAGGTTGTCAAGAGTAACGAAAATCAGATACTAATCGATACTAAAACTAGTATCGAAAATATAAATTTTATTAATATATTATATTATCATATAGAATAACAACAAAATTACATTAGAGATACATACAGATGGCATAGTATTTTCAAAGTGCATAATAGTGTAGGACACCCACCACGTAAACATTACACCCACTATGTGAACATTAGAATACAGTACTAGTAATATCAGTCATGTCAACAAATCACAACAAAAGAACCATAAGAACTGGGACATAAAGGAAGGGGAGGCATCCAGACAGATGTGTATTTAAATGTCCTGTTGCAGCAATGCAAAAGTCCAGCAACTAGGTCCATTTGAGCAGGTACCAATACTAAAAAAGTCACCTTCACAGGACAGAAATGAACCTTTCCTGAATAACTTAAAATTATCTTGAGCTGTATCAGAATAAGTACAAGACCACACAGAATAGTATACGCCCATGAATCACTATGGAACCCACCTGGACGACTGAGAGATTACACAGATGCAAGACCGCATGGCAATATAAAAGAAAGCATGATGACTTCTTGTTGAAAATTACATTATATTGTCATTCTTTAAAATGTTTTTAATCATAATCAGTATTGGGTATCAAGTCTGTTCCTTAGTATTGAAATCAAGTTTGAAATATTGGTATGTTGTCAATACTAGTGGAGAGGCATTCCCACTCACAGTAAGGAGCACTTCCTGTATTACTGTATTAATTCTTCAGTTTGAGAGAAGAATGCAGCCTATATACGCAGGGTTTGTGTGTTAAACGTGTGAACTGAAACAAAACACAACTCCAGGTATGTTTTTTTAAAGTGAAAACAACATTATAACGTATATCAGAAAATGGAGTAATATGAGCCCTTTAAAAACACAAATGCAACTTTCCCGGTTAATGAATTCACACCTAATGATGCTAAAAGAGCTTAATGCTATGCTAATGAAAACAGGTAGGCCAACATCCCAGCTGGATACCTGTCTCAGCCTATCCACAGAGCCTGACAGTACACCTGGGTCCCTACCCCTCCCAACTCCACCGCTCTCTCCCTGTGACCCCAATATCTCAATAGACTTTATCCTGCTGCCCGCCCTGAGCTTTAATAAACGGTGACTTTATGAAACCTGAAGATGATGGAACTCCTCACAGTACACCCAGGTTTGTAAAGGAGAGGCAGAGTTGAGGAGGAGACATGGCACAGCACAATGGCACAGCTAAATCAGTAGTAAATAGAGTTTTGTAAATGAAATGGGGCACTTTTCTGAATTATTTCAGTATGGGACATCAGATTCTGTGCACAAGGGAGTTCACGCAATTTGTGTGTGTTTACATTTCACCACTACACATGCGGCTACACGGAAGGGTCGGCTCTTTAATATTCACGAGGGAACTCATTCGTGATTGAGGTGGCAGTGCTTTATAGTAAGGGCAGCTGACTTGACAACAATTGTCCCCCGTCTTGAATATGTCTCTCCAAACCACGTGAATGCTCATAAAACTACGGTCGTCACGCCCCAGTCCTCACTTTCACCTTTCGCCAACACAGAACCCACCCCCCCACATACACATACACATACACACACACAATACCCACCACCTCTGTTTCTAGTGAAAAGATATTTTCAACCACTGGGGACACTGTAACTGCCAGCAGATCTGCAGTTACTGCAGACAATGTGGACAAGTTGTTTTTTCTGGCCAAAAAGTAAAACTTCATGCTGGAACTGTTAGTGCTGTGCTTTACTTTTTGAAAAGTTTTGTTTACTGTTTACAAGGAATTTCATTTTTTATTATAATATTTCATACATTTGCTGCTTATTTGAGAATATTTTATTTTACTTATTAGTATTACCAAGCAGCACTTTGCATTTATTTTATTTTCTCATTTGTATAATGTTAAAAACATACTGCACCAAAAACGAATGATTTTTACATACTGTTACATCCCTGCTAAGGGCTGTATATCTGTATTAAATCTGAATGTACTGAGGCAAAACAAATTTTACATTATTACATGAAAAATATTGGCAATTTCATTATAGAATTAGTGTCAGAACATGTTTTGTTTTCAGTATAACACAGTATACAGTATAAAAAGTGGAAGTTAAAAGTCATTTCAGAACAAAGAAATTTATGAAATAAAGAGTCTGCCTTAGATTTAATAAAAAAAGATCTATTGAGAATAATTTGTAAATGTAGGGTTGAGACAAAAAGCCAGACTATCTTCAGAGTTTGTTTTGGTTGACCATACAAGAAAGACCACAAAATTACAGCCTGCCTTACACACTTTTACATCTCTCTCCTGACTTCATACTTAAAGCTTAAAGGCCACTCTCCTACACACATAAAGTAACATAGATTGAAAACAAATGAAAAACAAATGGTGCGTATCGACACAGACTAGCCCCATGTGTTCTCAAAGTCAATGGAGGACATGATGGCCCATTGAGCGCCCATCACGACGTACATACTAACATAGCGCTGCCATAAAAATCAATTGTATACATATACTAACATACATGCTTTGTCTGGGAGTACATGCGTGTACCTATATTGTGCACAATTGCTGTCATACCGGCCATTGAAAGCTGGGAAAGCACCATCTAAAAAGCCTATATTCAGGAACCAGGTCTTCAAAATCTCTCTCTAAAAGCTACAATCCTATTAATAGCTATTTCTGCCACACTGCAAACCTAGAGTATATAAGGCACCCAAGCTCAGAGAATGGCAGTTCT